CGAAAAACACATCAAGACAACCCGCTTCGCTGCCGAGGGAGGAGACTTTGACGCTGCGAATGCCGGCGCTGCCATGGAAGTCGACCGTAAGTTGCCATCCATTCTTGCTTGGAGACCTCACTGTCTCTTATACCGATCATTTTTAAAACGTCATACTAGGCCTGGTCAAGGAGGGTGGACACCCCGGCCCCAGCTCCCCAGGCACAGGCCTTGGCCACACAGATAGCAAGGACAGCAGTGGTAGTGGGGAGAAGAAGAGCCTCAAAGAGAGGATCAAGGCCAAGCTGCACAAGCACTGAGCCGAGCTGGCTCACCTCTACTTGTCTGGATAGACACATGTTGCGCATCGACTTGCTCACCTGGGGCGTTAATTTCACGACATGACACAGTTTCTGGACAATATCCTGGTAATGAGCTACGATACTGTCAACCATTTCCAATGATGAATTTACCACAAGGACGGAAAGAACCCCCCCAGATTGTCCCGTAACACAAGCGCAACGACGTAGTCCAAAGGGGCTCCTTTGCTCTCTGTACGTAGCAATCCAAAGATCTAAGCCAAGGAAATCTGGCGTCATTTGCTATGGCACTCCATAGCTGCTATCATGGGCCATGCTCATAAACCTTCATAACATGAGTTCGTCCTGTGTTCGCACCCCCAGAAATCTGCCTGCGGAAGGAGATCCCACACCTACCTTGCTCCTCACACAGTTCTTCGGCAGCAGAGGTGCGCTTCAACGTGTCCGGACCACCTCTGCCACCCGTCCTCCCTACAGAGTCGTGTCACACACTGGGACGTCCTTATGAAGCTGACCTCACACGTCATGTTATGACACGCATGCCATATCGTCGCGCTGGAGTCCTGGCAACGACAGTTTGCTCTTTGCCGGCGTGGGAAAAAAGGTTGCATGCTGAGCGATAGCTTCAACCCGCCCTTCCGTCGATGACGCCGTCCCACGCAGACCCCGTAGCACGGCGCAGAATAGGCCGACATGCGCCTCCAGCTCGCCGTCCGCTGTCGTAGGCCGCTCCGCCATTGGCAGTCATTTGTCCATCCTGTTCACAGGACACCGCGTTTCTTCATCGGGCTTTTTTTCCTTTTCTTTGTGCGCCTAGGCGATTGATCTTCACAAGAAACGCTCATCAGAGGAAGCCCGACTCTGCAAGAACTCTGGAGAAGATATTTCAGTCAGCCTTCAACGTTTTCCACACGATAGTGGGCAGTCCGTATCGCCCACAATGACTCTGGGCCATGGAGGGGATGGAAAATGCAGTCAGGTGTTCCTCTACTGTCGTAGACGAATTCAACATACCTGACAATCTTCTCGTCTTCTCGCTCGCGAGGCTCAACCTGCAAGCTCTTGTCGTACATCTCATGCACATCGCCAGCAGCTTGCTTATTTGAGATTATATACTCTTGTAGTTCGGGGACCGGCTGCAGAGAATATCCTACGGCTTGGTACTGCTGGATATCACGAATGACCTCAGCTGTCTTCGACCTTTTGGCAAAATTGACGAGGTTGGTTTTCTTGATGATTGATGGGATACCATCCTCGATAAAAGTCAAATCGGTCAGGTAGACACCTATCGATAATTGTAAGCCAAGTGGATCCGCGCGGACACGTCCGCTTCTGTCATGGATCGCTTACCGAAGAAGGGGATGCATGGTGGATTTGCCACATGAAGCGACTCGCGATACTCGCCAAAATTCTTGGTGCTGGCCATGAGTCGTCGCATGTTCTCCAGTACACCCTGGGTTCGCTGAGGGACCTGGTCCCATGTACGTTTCAGGCGGGCAATGGGCGCAGTCCCGAGGGCTGAGATAATGGACGTCAAGGTAGAGAAGTTATTGAGACTCCGGCATTTCTGTCCGCAACTTTAGCCCCCGACGAACAATCCGCATGAAGGTGTATAACTTACATCAGCGACCGCAACAAAGTGCTTGATGACAACGACGCGTTTCTTCACATCCATTTGGGCTAGGATCATCTCAGCGACCCAGTTCGTCATCTGATTAGAGTGAAGAATCAGAAGCTTGACATTGGGTGCTGGTTCAGGGTCCCCATCGGCAACCTTCTTTTGCCACGTCTTGTTCAGGCACTCGGTTGGTTTGATCTTGCCATAGAGTCGCGACTCGATGATCGTAAGCTGGCGGGCAAACTCGGTAACATCAATGTCGAGGAACTTAAGCTTCTTCATGTTCTTCGGCATGATGGGCGCAGGCGTGCTCTGGTTGGCCGTCTGAATGATGCGTCGAGTGCCTGCTTCCTTACCACTTAGGCGCTGGTCCAATATCGACATGAGGAGCGCTGAACCAGGTGTTTCGGTGGATTTGACGGTTTCCCGAGCGAAGGCATAGACATCGCGTATTAACTGCTTGGACTCTTCGTTGAAGTCCTCCATCCAGAAGTTGTCGAACCAGCTCCTCAGAATGTTGACTACACGCACACGAATGAGTTTTTGTTTCTTGTCTCTCCAAAGCTCGAAATCAGTGGGTGCCAGTCCTTCCGGCGGCTGAATGCCGAAACGACCAACAAGAAGCTCGAAGAGCTCTCTTGCTGAAGTGAAAGATCGATATGTGAGAAGAAAGGTATTGTTAAAGTTAGAGTCCAACTTGTCGTGGCGCGTCAGTTGCTCTACGAGGGCCAGCAGCGTGCCTCCTTTAACTGTCGGAGGCTGCGTTTTCGTATCCCATGAGAGATCAGCCTCCAAGTCCAGGAGTAAGAAGTCCGGCGTATCATCGAGTTGCTGCTGCACGGAGCTCTGAGGGTTCGGGTCATCTCCCCAGGATTTTCTTGACCTTGGAGTAATCCCCCTCCTGAAGCTACCCGCCTGTGGGGTCACCTTCGCTGAACGAATGTGAGGTCAGCAGCGGAGGGCGCGTTGGGGCTGTCCTGGACTCGCTGCGTTGGTGCGGACGTTCATACGGCATAGTTTCACCCCTTCGGAGCTGATCACGTTGCGAGAAAACATCTCTTGGCGCAGGTTCTAGCTGCTGTAGTTGATGTTGAGGCGGGGCTTGAGCTTGAGCTTGAGCTTGAGCTGGTGCCTGAGGTTGCTGCTGCTGCTGGTTGATGGAAACCTGCTCTGACAAAAGTTGCAGAGAGAAACCGACGTGGGAAGAGTTCGTCTCCAGAGCCTTGGCGCACTGCCTGGCGTATTCGAGTCGATTTTCCAGGGCTTCGCCTCGGACCTCTGTCCATTCATCTGCGAGCGGCCCTGCTACAGCTTGACTAGCCATTAGCAAATCGGAGATGTTATCGTATAGACTCTGTTTGTTGACGCTGAAGTCGGCTAGCTGGGGCGTCTTGGAAGCTGTTGTCTAAGGATGACATGTTGATAGATTC